TTGCCAACTTCTATGTGGTCATCCCTCCTGCTCTGAATCCTGTTGTTTATGGAGTAAAGACCAAACAGATCCAGGAAAAATTTCTTCTACTCGTCTCATTTCAGAAGACACAATGAGTGGAAACTGAAGAAGACATTTAGGTAAAATTGATCAAGTATATTTTATGTAACTTGGGAATAAGTAAAAATAAAGTTGTGACACCTACTTTTTTTTAATGGATGACAGATACAGAATACTAAAATGAGGCTTCAGTCATTTCTATGGCTAATGTTGAGATATTTGAAGGATAGATGTTTCCTCACAGGTAACTCTCCATGGTATGTTGCTATTCTTTTGTAGTACAGTCAGTCTCCCACCTTTATTTGCTGAGTAGTTATCCTCTCTCTCTACTATAATTATCAAACAGTATCAATGCTCCTCTTATGTCTTTTACGTTTTATTTCTTCTTGTACTCATCTCCGATTACGTAAAACTGCTTATGTTTTAGACTGGTTTTCTTCAATTGCAAACTCCAGTAAAATCTGAACTTTGTTACAATGCTTATCTTATATTTTGGAAGTGTTGATATATGTCATATAATTAATATAATAATAATATAATATAATAATAATAATTGAGTGTGATATTAGTAAATTTGATTTACAATAAAGAATCATGTTTATTAATAGATCTGGACCTAAACCTAAATCCCTATGATTCTGAACTCCGTACACTTTTGTTGGGTATCTACTTGCTCAAATTGCTTACAAACTCCTCAAACTTAATTTCTTCAAACTGACTTGGAAACTCACTACCTAACCCTATAAAATACACTCTTTTCTGTTTTCCTTTATGATAAATGGCAACACTAAAAGTATAAATTCCAAAGCCAGAAACCTATGTCTTGTCTTTTGTTCTCCTATGTTGTTAACTTCCAAAAAAATTAACTCAAAACCTGAGCTGCATATTTGAGTTTGAGGTGCTTATAAGTCATTCAGGTGAAAATATCCATCATATTCTCACCTTTATTATGATGGTTTAACTTGACTGGTCCTTATTTATTATATCTCTCTCTTTGAGAATGATGATACAGATAATAAAATCTGTCTGAAAGTTTTCCAAGTCTCCTTTAAAAAATTTTTTTGTCTTCTCTGAAATTTTCCAATCTTACTTTTCCTGTATAATCTCTTTACAAAAGCCACAGCGATCATTTTATAAAAGTACAATTCATGTTTGGCTGTGTCACTTTGCACATTTCAGCTATGATCCCAGTGATCCCAGCTATGATCTCAGTCAGGAGCAACATAAATACTGTACTTCCCTAGGATCATTGCAGAAAATAAAAGACTTAGACAAAAAGAGAAACCTCTTGAAACTGTTTACACATAGTGTATGTATGTGTCTTATTATTTTACATAAAATAAAACTTTGTATGAATGGAATGTATACTAGGTAGAGTTGAGTGAGTGCCATCCATTCTTCTTTTTAGAAACTGTCCCAGGGTATTACCACCTGTCTCCTAAAATCTCCACTGAAACGAAAGTGTAAATTTCATCAAGATGAACATATAAATTACTTGGGAATTAGTAACAAGTAAAGTTAGCATTCTGTGGTGAGACCTTCCGTGTGTGTGTGTGTGTATCTCTGTGTGCTTTTGTGTGTGCTGACATATGCCCATTGGTTCAGAAGAGCAACAGGTAGGGGCTGCTTTATTTTGGTCACAATTAAAAATTCATATTTATTTCTTTGTATATTTATTCATGCTTATGTCATGAGCTATTTAAAGACAGAAACTCAGTCTTAGGTATCTTTCCAAAAAATACCTGATATACCATATATTCTTAATAAATATTTCATGCACATTCAAACTACAGAAGAAATTTCTTCTTCCAAATAATTTCCTCAATTTCCCTTTCAACTCTCTCTAACAGGCTTAAACTACACAGAAAATTATTTCAGTCATTGTCCTATGTCCTAAAGCTGCCTGTCTCTCACACACACTCAGTTGAAAGATTATTTACAATTATTATGGAAGATAATGTGGGGATTCCTCAGAAATCTGACAATAGATCTACCATATAACCCAGCCATCCCAGTCCTGGAAAGGAAATGAAATCAGCATATTAAAGAATTATTTATACCCCTGTGTTTGTAGCAGCTTAATCCACAATATCTAAAATAAGGAATCAACCTTTATCAACTTATGGATGGATGGATAAAGAAAATTTTGTATGTCTACATTATGGAATACTATTCAGTCACACAAATGAATGAAATCCTGTTTTTTTTTTTTGAAAAAAAAAAAAGGATACAACTGGAGACCATTATGCTTGGTGAACTAAGCCAGTCCCAAAAAGACAAATATTTTATGTTTCTGTGATATGTGGTAGTTAATATAGAATACTAAAATAAGCATTTTAAGTTATTATTAACTTTTTATAGATGTGGAAACTGATATGCAGAACACTTATTTATTTTGGTAGAGCAGAAAGCAAAGGGTGGTGGGAACAAGGACTACATTCCAGATTTTTTGCATTAGACCTTAGAACTAAATATTCCCTGTTGGAAGGACTAGAATAAGTACCAGGATGAATGTCCATAATTTTCAGATTTCGTCTAATTTGTGTTAGAGATATAGCCCTCACAAAAAAGGTCAGTAGCCTGTATTTTTCAATAACGCACTGAACATAAAGTTAATGATAATTCATCACTAAGGGAAGTGGAAGACAATTGCCAACCAAGACCGGCCACTGAGGAAAGGGTCAGACAAGGGAGGTCTCACGTCTGGGCAGGAGACACCCACAGTGAGAAACAACTCCAGGGTTTTTGTCTTTAAAGTTAGAAGATGAATCATTTCAGTTAAACAGGCATTTATTGATCATCCACAATGAAGTAGTCTCTGCCAGGATTCAGAAGATGAAATAGCCCATGCAGAAGTAGTTTTTGGAGTTCTAGGCTTGGGTTGGGCAGATTTAACTCTTGCATGATAGATGTAACTCTTGTAGAGTTTCTTTATCAAGTTGCTACTCAAGCCAAATCAAGACTGTTGAGACTCAGGTATGCTACTTGTGAGGTTCACAACCTGATATCCCAAATAATGGATTGTTTTTACATGCTTAGATCTTTGAAGGGGAATAAAGAGGAAGGGTCTTGAGGGCTAGCATCATAGCACAGCAAGTTAAACCACTATTTGTTACTCTAGCATCCCATATCTGAGTGCTGAGTGCTGGTTCAATTCCTAGCTATTTCACTTCTTTTTTTTTTTTTTTTCAGGCAGAGTGGACAGTGAGAGAGAGAGACAGAGAGAAAGGTCTTCCTTTGCCGTTGGTTCACCCTCCAATGGCCGCTGCGGCTGGCGCGCCGCCACAGCTGGCGCACCGCGCTGATCCGATGGCAGGAGCCAGGTACTTATCCTGGTCTCCCATGGGGTGCAGGGCCCAAGCACTTGGACCATCCTCCACTGCACTCCCTGGCCACAGCAGAGAGCTGGCCTGGAAGAGGGGCAACCGGGACAGAATCCGGCGCCCTGACCGGGACTAGAACCCGGTGTGCCGACACCGCAAGGCGGAGGATTAGCCTAGTGAGCCGCGGCGCCGGCCTGCTATTTCACTTCTGATCCAGCTCTCTGTTAAAATACCTGGGAAGATAGAGGAAGATGTCTCAATTACTTGGGACACTGGTACTTACTAGGAGACCCAAATGGACATCTTGGCTCCTGGCTTCAGCTTGCCCTGCCCCTGCTGTTGCAACCATTTGGGATATGAACCAATGGATAGGAAATCTCTTTCCCTCCCTGTCTCTCCCTCTCAGTTGCTCTCCCTTTCAAATAAATTAAACAAATATTTTTTAAAAAAGAAATGGTCTCAGAATCAAGATATTCTCACTGAACTTCTCCATCCCTCCCTTCTCCATTCATTTTCCCTGCAAAGCAGTCAGATAAACTACAACTGTATCCCAAAGCAAGACAAAATGTAGAGGTTGGTCCCTGATCCACTTTCTTTGGAATTAGGTCATCAGATGTATTCCAGAAGGATCTTGCCTCATATCTGAGGAAGGGGTTGGGGATGGGGAGAATGTTTCACAGAGAGGCAAGAAGAATCTGAAGAAAAAGGCCTTCCTGGCTGGCGCTGTGGCATAATAGGTAAAGCCGCCACCTGCAGTGCCGGCATCCCTTATGGGCATCAGTTGGAGTCCTGGCTGCTCCACTTCCTATCCAGCTCTCTGCTAGGGCCTCGGAAAGCAGTAGAAGATGGCCCAAGTCCTTTGGCCCCTGCACCTGTGTGGGAGACTTGGAGGAAGCTCCTGGATCCTGGATTCTTCTGGGTTTCCCACATGGGTACAGGGGCCCAAGTGCTTGGGCCATCTTTTACTACTTTCCCGGGCCATAGCAGAAAGCTGGATTGGAAGAGAAGCATCCAGGACTAGAACCGGTGCCCATATGGGATAGTGGTGCCACAGTGCCTGCTCCGAGGTACAAGTCATTAAGATGGGAAAGTGTTAATATGTTTGAGTCCATGTTTCTATCCCGGACTGACTTGGGGCCTTGGGCTCTGAGACTGATGGGTCCCACCTGGCTCAATGGCACTGCATTCTAATCTCTAATCTCCATTCTCCTCTAATCCCAGGAGAAGACAAGGGAGGTATATTAACCCTCTTCCTCTGGCTTCTGTTTGCTTTTCCCTACTGTAATCATGATTCTATGTCTGTCCCTCGGTACCTGTGTTTGTCCTTCCTGACCTTGGGACTGCTTCTTCTCTTCTTTGGTTTGTCTTTCGCCTTCTGTACTTCTGCACTGTCTGTTGATAGCTCTGCTTTTGCAAAAACAGTTACAGGACCAGGACCTCCAAGGTATGACCTGGTATAGAACTACTAGGGAATAAGTTGATGGGGAGTAGAATTAATGAGAAATAGAGCTGGTAAATGAGAAAAGGATGGATTCCAGTAAGTGGGAATGCCAAGCTTAGAACTTCATGGCACAAAAGAGGAGAGTCTAATAGGAGCTTAGTTCTGAGTCATTCTCACTACTCTTCCCAAAATGTTTCTAGGTTTTTCTTGAGATAAAAAATTTTAATGCTCATAATTTGGGAAAATCAAAGAAAATAAGCTGTTGTAATAGTTTTGGGACTGGTGTACCAGATTAGAGCCAGTCATTTAGAGATTAAAGCTTGATAGACCATCTCTGAAACTTTTAGGTTATCTTATATTTGCAAGTATAATTCTGTATATGTATGAGCATTTGTGGGAGAGTGTACCATTCCACACAGTGGGGTATGGGGGCATGCAGAATGGAGTAGAGCAGTTGCTTTCTTTTCTTTTCTTTTCTTTTCTTTTCTTTTCTTTTCTTTTCTTTTCTTTTCTTTTCTTTTTTTTCTTTTCTTTTCAGATTTACTAATTTATTTGAGAGGCTGAGTTACAGACAGAAAGAGGGAGAGATGGAGAGAGAGGTCTTCCATCTGCTGGTTTGTTCACCTAATAGCCACAAAGGTCAGAGCTGGGCGGATCAGAAGCCAAGTTTTTTCCGGGTATCCCTCGTGGGTGCGGGAGCCCAGGAACTTGGGCCATCTTCCACTGCTATCCCAGGTCATAAGCAGAGAGCTGGATCGGAAGAATAGCCAGGACACAAACTGGTGCCCACATGGGATGCTGGAATCGCAGACAGAGGCTTAGCTTACTATACCACAGCCCCAGCCCCAGCAGTTGCTTTCTGAAATGAGTCTTAAAGTAGTCTTCTGTGATCTATGGACCCAGGGGAAGAGATAAGATTCGCAAATGGTTACATTGAGGATAAACAAAGAAACTGGGGCAAACCCTAAATTACTACACTTCGCGATCAAGATATTGTTGAAATACCTGTTTTGTGTTTAGCTTATTACTGAGGAAGGTGGGGAGATGTGTCATGTCTATTCCTAGCCTTAGGAGAAAGGAGAAAATTTCTTAGCAATCATTTAGAAATTAGTAAATAAGGTGGGAGTAGAACATTCGCTAGAGACAAAATCCTCCCCATTTTGTGTTTAAAAGGATTGTGATCAAAGACAGAGGTAATAATGATAGAATAAAGAAAATATTTAGTTTGTGACAACTGAGAAGAGTCCATAAAAATGAAAATGTAAGGCACAGACTTTTCTCTAGTACTTAGAATTTTGACGGTGAGAGGTATCTTCTATCCTTTGGTTCACTCCCCAAAAGCTTGCAACTGCCAGGGATGGGCCAGACTGAAGCCAAGAGCCTGGAACTATACTTGGGTCTCTCACATGGGTGGCAGGGGCCCAAGCACTTGCATCATCATCTGATCCATCTCAATATGTGCATTAAGAGAAACTGGATTGAAAGCAGAGGAGGCCAGGAGTTGAACTGACCCTCTGATTTGGATTTCAGGCATCTCAAGAGGCAGTTTAATATGCTGTACCACATTGCTTACCATGAACTCAGGAATACTTAAGAATGGAAGCAAATTTTCAGGTTATTCTGGATCTTCCATTTCTCAGAGTTGAAGTAGAAGCCTGTCTCATTCTATTATGGTAGAGTGCGAGGGTACAGGATTAAAGAAGATGGAGAAGAATGGCAAGATATGGACCATAGGTAGACTGTATTTACAATATCACTAAGCATCATTGAATGGTAAAATTGATTAGTATGACTTTCTAATTAATTAGTTTTGGTCCAGTATTCATTTATTCAAGTAGTGTTTATGGAACACTCTGTACCAGATGCTGTTCTGGGCAAGAACAATGAAAAAAAAAAAACAGATGTGATTTCTGTCCTCCTAATGTTTACAGTTTATTAAATGGGAAATAAAAGTAAAGTAAATTGAAATACTTTAGTGAATGCTCTGACTGGATATTGCAGACTGCCTCATCAGAACAATATGTGGGAACATTATCTAATTTGGATACTGGTCAGGAGAGCTTGTTGGGGACAGTACATGTGTGGGAGTTAACCAGAATAAGAGAGGAAATGGACTAAGCTGACGAAATAGTTGAAGCCAAACATGAGTAGAATTTCAGACAGAATTGGAAGTTAACTTAGGAGTGACACATGTTGTGGACAATGTTGTTTTGTTTTGATGTGGATAAAAGCTACATATACTTTTTCACTTTGATGTTCTCATTTGAGGTCTGGTGTTAGTTAATATAATATTTAAGGCTGGGTAAGAGAAATCACTGAAACTCTTTAAAGTATCACCGAGGAACTACTTGTACACAACGGTGTCAATATCCCACAGGCACTAGCGACTCAGGATTTGTATGCACATTCTTTAGCTGGAAATATGTATTACTGACAGGATGCCAGCCAAAGACCAAACCACGAGGATGCTATTCAAACATCCACCTAATGTGTCTTCAAGTTAATGTCCATTTGCTTATTTTGGCAATTATAACTAATTGGTCATATTTTGAATAATCCTTAAAATTGTTTTCTAAAATCGTTTTCTAAAATCAGGAGACAAAGTAGAAGCCAGGAAAAAATAAATGGCAAACACATACTTTATTTAAAGTTCATGGAGATGGATGTATTTACTGATATTCCAAACCTTTGACTACTTTTTACAAGATTCCTCTATCAACTGACATGTTATCATTCCTGTATTCTGATGTCTTAGAAATCAATTTATTGACATCTTCTATTACATTAATTCAGGCTGCCTTTATCTACTTTGCTATAACAATTAATATACCCTGTTGCTTATCTTTAGAACAACCTGTTCTCATTTCATCTAGGCACATATCAGGATGCTAAAAATGATTAAGTGAATGAATAAATCTATTTAGGCTTTCATGAAACCATTATAATAGCCTTTTAAATTAATCTAGGGGCCAGCTTTGTTGGGTAGCAGCTTAAACCACCATTTGTGATGCTGGCATTCTCTATTGGTGCTGATTGGTGTCTTAACTGCTCCACTTTGATCCAGCTCCCTGGTAATGTGCCTGGGAAAGCAGCAGAAGATGGACGAAGTACTCGGGCTCTTGCCACCCACATGGGTGACTTCAGCCTGGCCCAGCTCTGGAGTTGCAGTTATTTGGGGAGTGAAACAACAGATGGAAGATCTCTCTGTTTCTCCCTCTCTCTCTGTAATTGCCTTTCAAAGAAATACCTAAATTGTTTAAAAAATAAATCTAGAAGAATTTCAGACTTATTTGTAAAATCAGATAAATTATAAACACATGAAGCTAAAACTCAATAGAAGTATTAAAGTTAAAAGGAAATTTTCAAATTTCCTTTCCCAGCTCACCCTATAAAAATTCTCCCATAAATATGTCTCTTAGAATAGTTGACACATATTCTTCTAAGCTTTTAAATGTTAATGCCAACATGAAAACCAAATCAACATTAATAACATATACTAACACTGTACTATGATTTTCTGTATTTACTTAACAATCTATATTGGCGTCTTTTGATTTTCATTTACACAGCTTAACTTTATTCTTCCATTAAATGGATACATCAAAATTTTTAAATTTTTTAAAAAACCACTCCCCTGTTAAAATTTAAATGGATGCCAGCTTTTCAATGTTCCTTTTCCATATTACATTAAATTTTATATTGTAAATGTTGCAACAGTGACTATCTTTATGTATTTTTGCTTGCATAACTATATCTCTATGCTTAAGACTTTCCAGGCCGGCGCCACGGCTCACTAGGCTAATCCTCTGCCTGTGGCTCTGGCATCCCGGGTTCTAGTCTTGGTTGGGGTGCCGGATTCTGTCCTGGTTGCTCCTCTTCCAGTCCAGCTCTCTGCTGTGGCCCGGGAGTGCAGTGGAGGATGGCCCAAGTCCTTGAGCCCTGCACCCGCATGGGAGACCAGGAGGAAGCACCTGGCTCCTGGCTTCGGATCGGCACAGCGTGCCGGCTGTAGCACACCGGCCATAGTGGCCATTTACAGGGTGAACCAATGGAAAAGGAAGACCTTTCTCTCTCTCTCTCTCTCTCTCACTGTCTAACTCTGCCTGTCAAAAAAAAAAAGACTTTCCTAATCTGATAAATAATGCACTTCATCCATCTTTTACATTGAATTCAATTATTAAAGAGATTGATATTGCTTTATGCACTTATTAAACATTAATATTTCTTTTTATATAATTTAATTCTTCATATCATTTAATTTTTTTTGGATCAAAGGGCTTTGCCTTAGTATATTTTTAATTTGGATTAGTCTCTAGTTATGCTGCATTTTGTCATGAGATTTATTATCTCTTATTTAACTAACTCTGTTGAATAATCTGTTTTTTTCTATTGTTGTTTTGTTCTTCTTTCTTTTTTTTTTTTTTAACTTTTATTTAATGAATATACGTTTCCAAAGTACGAATAATGGATTACTATGGCTTCCCCCCCATACCGTCCCTCCCACCCACAACCCTCCCCTTTCCCACTCCCTCTCCCCTTCCATTCACATCAAGATTCATTTTCGATTATCTTAATATACAGAAGATCAGCTTAGTATACATTAAGTAAGGATTTCAACTCAGGACCTATAGGCCTATTAACAGATCACATAATAATTTTATAAGAAATGGTATTCTGAAGATTTAGCTGACACAGATAAGTTATAAATATTTTAAAAACTCTCAGATAATGCATGATACTGATTTGCAACGATTACTGGAAGAAGCAACCTGTAGTCCAAGGATAAGATATGTTGAAGAAGATAAAAGCTTCATTATAATTTTATCATTGGTTCTTGAGGTACGTAGAGAATATTGTTACATCCTCCCCACAAAAAAGCCAAACATTTTCAGGCGGATCTGTTTGGTATTAATGCCATAGACCATGGGGTTGAGAACGGGAGGCACCAGGAGATAAAGATTTGCAAGTACAATGTGGACCTGAGGAGGTACTTGGTGACCAAAGCGGTGGGTGAAAAAAGAAAAAAAGGCAGGAATATAGAAGACAAGAATTACACAAATATGGGCTCCACAAGTGCTAAATGCTCGGAATTGGGCATCCTTGGAGGGCAGTCGTAGCACAGCCTGCAGGATCAGGACGTAGGAGGAGGCTATGAGGACCACATCCATTCCAGTGATTGAAAGTGCCACAGTGAGACCGTAAATGGTGTTGGGCTTGATGCTGGCACAGGCCAGCTTGGCTATACCCATGTGCTCACAGTAGGTGTGGGGGATGATATGACGTCCACAGAAGGGTAAGCGTTCAATGAGGATGACAAAAGGGAAAACGAAAAGAAGGCCACGAATCACACATGCCAGACCAATCTTTCCAATCATGGCGGCGTTGAGGATGGATGTATAATGAAGTGGACGGCAGATAGCCACATAGCGATCAAAAGCCATAGCCAGTAGAACAGCTGACTCTGTTGCAAAGACTGCATGCACAAAAAACATCTGGGTGAGACAGCCATGGAAGGAAATTACATGGTATTTGAGCCAGAAGATTGTTAGCATTTTGGGCAATGTGGTAGAACAGAGTATCACGTCAGTGATGGAAAGTAAGCACAGGAAGAGGTACATCGGCTCGTGCAGAGCTCTGTCCATCATGACAATGTAGAGGATGGTGCCATTGCCCACCAGAGCAAGGATATACAGGGAGCAGAAGGGGATGGCGATCCAAATGTGCTTGTCTTGCATCCCAGGGATTCCAAGTAAAATAAATGTGGAGGGGTGAAAGGCAGTGTCATTGTGGACAGTTGCTGAGTGCATAATGATACAGAAAACAGAGGCTTGATTTTCCTAAAATAATGAGAAAATGAAATGATGTAATCCTATATGCCATTTGTCCCTTCTAAATATCTATTCAAATTCTTGTATTTCTTCCCCATCAATTCCCTCACTTCTTGAATGGATACTAAAAATAATTTTGTGTCTACAGTGCCTACTTGCAGCACTTCCTTCCAATGAGGTTTCTACCTTATGTCTAAATATTCTAAAACGCAGAATGCAATAAACTATAATGCATATATAACTTTTCTTTTTCTGTGCTGTGCAGAATGTCTGCATTAACCTTATCTAGTCTATGCTTCACCACTTTCCATTACATTCTGGCTCCTGGAATCCTGATTGATATGGAATGTATGAATGAACTCCTTTATCCTCTCACTTGTAGCTGTATCTGGCATGAGGAAACATCAACAGGAGATTGGAAGTAGTGAGAAAAGTGAGGTCAGGTGATTATCGCTTCAGCTCTCTCTCAGCAGGGCTACTGCAAGCTTGAAGCAACCCTGTCTAAATCACGTTTCTGCCTCTGTTTTGGTCAGGTAAACATATTTCTTCTTGTCCCTTCAGTTGAAGGACTGTAATGGTGCCTGCTGTCACTTACTCAGGGAACTTCCGAGCATTTATGACTTCCTATGTCTGTTAATGGTCTCTGTATTATATTCTCCCCCATGATATCTAATTTCATTGTTTCACTTGGATTCTAATATAATTACATGCAATGCTCTTCTTGAGCTTGCTCTTGCCTACCTATCTAGAACCACATTCCACTGTGCACCTCATGTTCCAGCCATATATTGGAGCTGAAGCATGTCTATAAGCATGGTTTCTTGCACCAGCATGCTTTTTCACATGGTCTTCTTAACTGCACAGAAAAGTTGATTCCATTTGGTCAACTGTCAAGCTCCTAAAAATAATTTAAAAATCTTCTGAATATGTCTTTTTCTTTGAAGACCTTCTCTAAGGTCTTTCTCCATGGAAAGAGTATCTTCAATATGCCCCCCTTTAGAAATATAAAACTGCTTCATCATTATGTGTATGTCCATCTCCCCATTATACTGTGAAATTTCTGAGTATTATTTTCACTGTAGCCAGCACCTCTGCCTTACATACACCTCTGCCTTACATTAAGCCAACAAATAATATTTAATGAATAATTAATGAAAGATTGAATTTAGTAATTGATTATTTAACAGACTTAGGTAAGTGGCCATGTTTGAAAAATGATATTTCCTCTTGGGAGTGCTCCTTATGAATCAGGCAAGACAGTCTCTTGTTGGATCTGTGATGTGATTCCTATCATTCTTTTCACTGTATACATTTCAAGAAATGTTCCTCCTCATCATCACGTTTTAAATACATTTATAATATAATCCAATATATAGAGTAAATTTCTGTTTTCTTGATTAGTCATATACATCAGTTTGATTTAAAAAAAAAAAAAAAAACAGATCTAGCAGTGTGTGTGTGGTGCAGCAGGTTAAGCACTACTTGGAACACCATCTCGTTTCTGACTGCCTGGAATCAAGTCCTGCCTCTCCTTCTGATCCAACTTCCTACTAACGTGCACCCTGGGAGGCAGCAGGTGGTGGGCCAAGTGCTTAATCCCAACTCACACTGAGTTCCTGGTTCCTGGCTTTGGCCTGTCCAGCCCCAGCTATTGTGGGCATTTGAAGGAGTTAACCAGAAGATGGGCGATCTTGCTCGCTCACTCGCTCTCTCTTTCTGTCACTCTGCCTTTCAAATAAACAAAGAAAATGTATAAATGAACTTTAAAATGTATCTTCTCTTGTCTTCTTTAACAGCTTTAGAGTGTGGTCACTTTAGGACCATGATCTCAAACAATGAGATCATGCCAAAAGGAACAGAGAAAAGAGAGAAAAAGCCTGAGGCCAGCCCTGCCTTGGGAGACCCTGAAAGTGAAATCAATCTCATCATTCTTACCTTGCTGAAGTCCAGTCTTTGGAGGTCAAATATTCTCGTTTTTGGAAAATGTACTAACATTAACTTCATCCACTCATTCTCTCCTAAAAAGAATTTTAGAATGTGGTAGAACCTAAGATAGAATTAAACAGTTGTATAATGATTCTACAGAATATTCTTCCTTCAATCCTCTGCTCAGCTAAAACTGCATTATTAAAAGACCAACTATAATGCATTGAATTTTATTTATTTAGTAATTAGAATATGCATTTCTCATATACATTGCAAGTTTATATTAACATTGAAAATTGTGTAAGTTATAAAGTTTTTTGAGTTTTAATTTTAATATCTGTATTCTAAGGTCATGACAGTAGAGTTTCCTGTCAGTTTTACTATAATTGCATATCTCCTTACATATGCAAAATTCATTATAATTTTTTTCAGCAAAGTGAATTAAGTTTTTAATATTTAGTTTAAAATGAAACATTTTATTCATCCTGTTAAACTGCCAGATATATCTTTATTTTTTTATTCATTTTATTTTTTTTTTTAATTTTTTGACAGGCAGAGTGGACAGTGAGAGAGAGAGACAGAGAGAAGGGTCTTCCTTTTGCCGTTGGTTCACCCTCCAATGGCGCTGCGGCCAGCGCTCTGTGGCCAGTGCACCACGCTGATCCGATGGCAGGAACCAGGTGCTTCTCCTGGTCTCCCATGGGGTGCAGGGCCCAAGCACTTGGGCCATCCTCCACTGCCTTCTTGGGCCACAGCAGAGAGCTGGCCTGGAAGAGGGGCAACCGGGACAGAATCCGGCGCCCCGACCAGGACTAGAACCCGGATTAGCCTAGTGAGCCGCGGCACCGGCCCAGATATATCTTTAAATAGAAATTCTGCGTCTCGGGGGCCGGCGCTGTTGCACAGCGGGTTAACGCCCAGGCCTGAAGCACCAGCACCCCATTGGGTGCCGGTTCGAAACCCGGCTGCTCTACTTCCCATCCAGCTCTCTGCTATTGCCAGGGAAAGCAGTAGAAGATGGCCCAAGTCCTTGGGCCCCTGCACCCACGTGGGAGACCCAAAGAGGCTCCTGGCTCTTGGCTTCAGATTGACGTAGCTCCAGCCATTGCGGCCAATTGGGGAGTGAACCATCAGATGGAAGACCTCTCTCTCTCTCTCTCTCTCTGCCTCTCCTCTCTCTGTGTAACTCTGACTTTCAAATAAATAAATCTTTAAAAAAAAAAGAAATTCTGCGTCTCATCATAAAACTATAATATAACATCCAGATTCTTTTTATATCCTGTAAATAGCACATGATTATCTTTTTCTCTCATCCTCACATTGTCAATTATAATTTCTAAAGTAAGTAATTGTAAATAACCATCACATTATAGACATTTTGGAGAAGTAAATATTTTTGGCTACTATCTTAGTAATATAAGATGTTTTAAATTTAAATTTTAATTTTTTATAATTTTTATTCATATAAGCCAAACAAATTTCATGTATTTCATATATACAGATTTAGGAGCATAGTGATACTTCCTACTTTACCCTCCCTCCCACACTCTAACTCTCCTCCTTCCTTTCTTATTTTTTCTTTTAATTTTTATAATAACATACTTTCCATTTATTTTTGGACAAGCCAATGTGATATAATCTTACCATTTAGTTAGGAAATAAGTTATGAAGCACCTGTAGTTCAATAATTCTATGATGCTTGACTTCCAAATGAGATGCCCTGAAAATTACTATGTGGCAGTTACTTGTACATTCCTAGTGAGAGGGAATTTATGCTTGCTTGAAGCAACCATTATCAACTTCACACCCTCTAATTCTGAGAAGCTTGCTGTTTTCACTGAGCCAGCATTGATGATCAAAACCCACATTGAATGATTATTTCTTTCAGTTTTACAAACACTTGTATTCTTTATAAGGTTGGTCTTTCATTTTATTCCTTTATCAGAAAATTTTTCAATGTTCTATTATGTACTATATTATTCTTTGAGGGATTTCATATACATAAAAGTGTAAGACCATTGATTCTCAATGATATGGTAACCTTATAAATAAGAAGATAAAATTAATAAACTACTATGCATAAAATGCTATAATGATGTATGCCAGGAAGAAAAGTTACTTGAGCCAGTTCCTGCCCAGGGAAAGCTTCCTTGAGGGAGTGAAATGAGTCTCCAAATCTAAGTTTCCTTCAGGAGCTTTAAACATTTCTTGTATGACTTGACTCCCAATGTTGTCACTTCCTGAAGCTCTCCTGCTATGGCCCAATCTGAAAAATAACAGATGAGAATCTAGATGTAGACTACCTGGGTTAAAAAAATGGCTCTCTTCCAGTTGTAATCTAGCCATTTTACCTTGACCAATTTTCTTATTACCCTCTCTCCTCAGTTTCCTAATATAGCAGATAACAATATTTCACAGAATATTTGAATAATTCACTGAGAAAAAACTCATAATGCATATAATCTAGTCTCTGTAGCAGAATGCATGTTAGTTATAATACTCATTTTTCTCATGATTTTGAAATCTCTAAATCCATTTCTCTATGTATTCATCTGTTAAAAGGAGGCAACTTCATTTAGTTCTTCAGGTGGAAAGAAATATTGATCTTTTTTCAGTCCATAATCTGAGGACGAGGACACTGTGGTCTCACCCTTTTCTTAATCAAGTACTCTCTTCACAGATATCCAAGACTAGTCCTCAATTTACTGTTGAGTGAATTCTCACAAGATGTGAAATAGGATGGTTCTCCAACAATCCTAATGTTACTGAATTCGTCTCATTAATTTCCCTGTGATCAAAGAACCATTGTGGCATTTGGGGACCTTCAACTCTAAATGGCAAGTTTGTACTATGTTGCCACTAAGGTAAGAGTAAAAGTGAAACAATACTTACCTTATTTCTATTAAAGGGACAGCTTCTATTAAGGTGTTTAGTGAGGCAGTGACTTGATGTTGCCATGGATAAAACAAAACTTGAGGATTATGTAGCAAGGATTTCTAGTTTTATGTAGATAAATTTCTAGGACTGCTTATACTAAGAAAATTAGGTGTGAGTGGGGGGAGAGGTGATTACCAGCTGTGCTCAGACATCAGTGAGATGGAATGTCAAATGGGTTGCTGATCTTCCAAGCTCTCTGGAAATACTGTGAGGGTCCTAGATTGCTCATTACTGAACAAATATGGCTTCATTCCAGTCTTGCCAGTCTGACTGATATGAGAGCAAGAATTAACTATTCTGCTTCCCTAAAGTGACGATTCCACTGACTCTGTATCAACATCATACTGCATAACTTATTTATATACAGAAAAGATTATTTTAAAAAGAGCAAAGAAACTATTATCTCATCATCGTTTCATGAAAGACTGATCCTAGAGATCCATCTGACTGCCTTATGCCCACAGGAAAATAGTAGGAGACTGAAACCTCTACAGCAGAAAAGATTCAGGTGCAAAGCAAACAACTTACTGATGATAATTTTAGGTACACATTAAGGTTACTCAAATACCTGCAGTATTCAAGGAATTATAGTTTGTGTAATAAAATTAGGGGGCAGTACTAAATGGCCTCTAGAGTAGCCAAGGACACCAATATCTTTGTACGATATGATCTCTTTCTTTCGTTTCCTACCACTGTCCCTGGCTTTGTAGACTGCCTTCAGCTTTGTTTTTTTGTTTTCTGTCCATCTCAATCATGTAACACTCACCCAGCTTCAGTGCTCTGCA